TACAGGCAGAGAGCTCACAATGCAGGGGCCCAGGAAGCTGCGACACTGCAAGCTTCTGAACAATTAATGCAGAGACTAACTCTCTGTATCCATCGCTGCAAGCCCGCTTTTCAATATAGCGACTGCTCCTTATACACACACAAAATGCAACCCTATTTTTTCACTTTGGATGTTAGTGGGGCCTCGTGTTTGAGTTTTGCCTCATACACTCTAGGGCCGCCTCAGCATTTGCACACACACTTTACTGTTGTCTCTTTCCTCTTTTATGCAACCATTAAATCAAAACAGCCAATAAACCAACTTTCCACTGGGGTATAAAAAATGGCTTGTAAAGGCCACAGATCTATCGTCTGCAGCCTTTGCAAACCCTCCCCTTCTTCCCCAGCCTAGACTTTTTATTGCTGTCCAACCACAGACTTCCCAGTGCAATTCTTTAGGAAGTCTTTACAGGCAGTTGCTCCAGTAAGCTAAGCAAACAGAAAGTAACAGGACCTGTTGTTTGATTGACAGCTGGGGAATGTAGCAATATAAATTTATAGCAGTGCCAATCTCTAGTGAAAATTAAAAAAAATGATCACACACTCTTCATACATAAAGCATGGAGAGTGGTTTAGGAGTGTCCTTTTAATAGATCTCAAAAAGCAATTTCAAACTGAGGTAACTAGAGTATTTTTTGTGAAGAATATTTAGCCTAGCTAATAAAAAAATATTGAAAAATACCACCACTGGAGCATATTATTGAATTGAAGTACATATAGTAACTGCCATCTTTAGAATTATTTCTCCCAGGAGAGATATTAGCCAATAATTTTAGTCAACAATGATATAAGTACAGTCTTTATTTAGAGTAAAGTGCATTGATTTTCTGCCAAGCTGAACTTGTTTTCACCTAGTGTCAAATGACAAGCTATACATTACGTTTGATTTGCTAACTGGAGTGGAAACCAGCATAAATCATTTAAAGGTAACCAGCATAATGATCATAAATCTTCAACATAAATTGTAGCTTTTTGTAATTTGTCTCATGGTTGGCCACATGACCTAAATTTGCCCATTCAGGTATAATTCAGGGAAATTAACCATTGTACACTACCACAGGCAAATGTACTCTGTCTTGCAAAAAAAACAAAAATGTGTACACTGCACATTGACACATATAAAGATACATAGACATACTGACCCATGCACAGATGCACACAATGACACGTACAATGACACACATTCATGTAATTAATTTTTATGTTTAATGACCCTGTTTCTAATATTTTATGTGTAGCAGGGTGGCTTGCCTGAAGTCCTGCTGCTGATTGAAGCTGATGGGATTTTGGGGCTGGATGGACCCATTTTCTATCCGGATGATGCAAATTTATCTGTCCTCCCCTGATTTCTCACCACCTTTCTTGTCTCTGACTGCCTCTCTGCTATTTACAACTGGATGGCTGTTCATTTCCTTAAACTGAACCTTGTCTTCCCTCCCTCAAGTGTTGCTACTCCCTTGTCTGTGTCCCTCCAAGTCAATGGTGCTACCATCCACTTTACCTCTAAGGCTCGCTGCCTAGGTATTGTCTTTGACTCCGACCCCTCCTTTACCCCTCATGTCCATTCAATCGCCAAATCTTGCCACTTCCATCTCAAAAAACTGGGGCGCATCTGACCGTATTTATCGCCTGATATGGCAAAGGTGCTTGTCCATGCCGCTGTCCTCTCTCGCTTTGACTACTGTAATCTGCTTCTCAGTGATCTTACATGTTCCCAACTTTCCCCGTTACAGTCTGTAATTAACTCAACGGCGAGGCTCATCTTTCTGTCCCCCGCACTCCCCACGTCTCCCCCCTTTGTCAGTCCCAACATTGGCTTCCCGTAAGATATAGGACTCAATTTAAGATCCTGATACTTGCTTACAAATCTCTACACAATGCTGCTCCGACCTACTTGACCTCACTAATACACAAATATGTCTCATCTAGGCCCCTATGCACTGCCGGAGATCTACATCAAACCTCTGTTCGTACTCCTACGCCTGATGCCCACCTGAAAGACTACTGTAGGGCTGCACCGTTCCTATGGAACGCCTTTCCCCTCTCTGTTAGATTTTCATCCAATCTCCACTCCTTCAAAAAATCTTTGAAAACTTAATTATTTAGGAAAGCATATCAATTAAACTGTAAACAGCTTTCTCTCCCTGCACCCTGATTCTCCTGGAAATGTCATCAAAACAAAACACTAAGTCCTCAATAATACTATCCTAACAACTTACTTTTCTACCCTACCCTTACCTTTTGTGTAACAATACCCCACTTCCTCTAGCATGTAAGCTTATTGAGCAGGGCCCTCAATCCCTATGTTGCTGTGCATCCAACTTGTCTGGTTACAAATACGTGTCTTTTAGTCTACCCATTGTACACCGATACGGAATTTGTTGGCACTTCATAAATAATAATAATAATAATACGAAAAGTAAATAATAGGTGAACAGACATACAGCTCAAATTCTAGGTTTTGTATTGGTTTAGATTTAGGATAATTACCTCCATCTTTAAGGGGTTAATATATTATTTGTCAGAAGTTCAGGACTAATTGGGTGTGGGATATTCTGTATTCTGGATATTTTTTCATCTTTATTTAATTGCATATAATAATTGTATGTCATTTATAATTTGATTTAAAATACACCAATTGGGTAAAAAACACTGTGGGGGATATTTATCAAAGTGATATGAAAAGTGATAGTTAAAATCCTTCATTATTTTCATTGTACTTTTTAAAGTGATCTAAAAAAATTTGGTTTTCTTTATAGTAAATGCCTCCAGTTTCCCTAGAAATTTATTTTTCAAAAGACCTATAAATTTACAGTGGCAGAAAAAAAATCCTTCCACTTTTCTGTTGGAAAGGTTTCCAAAAAATGTATAAATCCTTAGTGCCATTAAAAGTGATAGAATAATATTCAAAAATTGCAGGAAACAAAAACAAAAGTCACATATACAAAAATCTGATAAATTGAAACAAAATTCTCATAGATGTTAAAGAGTGACACAATGACACTTGGCTAAATCTCTCCCAAATATTTTCTGCTGTAATGAAAGTTAATTGATTTGTGTTGTATTTTACAGATTCTCAAAATGTTAACGATTCTTCCAATAACTACTATGGCACAAACAGCAGTTCTGTAGCTGCTGCAATCTTGGTTCCTTTTTTTGCCCTAATTCTATCAGGGTTTGCCTTTTACCTTTATAAACACAGGTAAATATGTTATAGTATATAGTACTTGCACATAAGTTATAGCTCAATGTTACTTCATTTGAAATCTGACTGTTTACTTTTTATTTCAATAATAATGTGAACTTTGCAAATCTTAGCAATCATTTCTATGCATTTTCCTTACATGAAAATATATGTTTGATGTTGATGAACTCTAAATTGAGAAACAAAAAATGTCTTTCTATTTCTCTTATAACTTTATGATGAATATGTAACTTATAAATGATACTATATGAACCATGTTAAAGGGACACTATAAACACCAAAACAACTTTAACATAATGAAGTGTTTTGGTATATAGATAATGCCCATCAGTCGTTGTTCAATGTTTTACAATTTAGAAGATATGTAATTGTGTTTATGAAGCTATACACCTCCTCTGGCTGGGACTAACACAGCCTCATTACAAACTTACCAAAAAAATGTCAATGTTTTTTAGCTTACCTTTTTGCATATTGTGTTTCAATTAAGTGACAAATATGCACATCTCATTTTCCAATAAATTGAATGGCCAATATTGTTTGGCAGATTACTATTAGGAAGTACTTTTAATGGGGCAATAAAGAATCGAACTGTTAAATGTATGCCATCCAGTCTGTTCCCTCAGTTTTACTTATGTGCTGCATACCTTGAGAACCATCTTTTTCTATTGCCTTTTGTTGTTGTGGTGATGGATCCTTTGTGCATATGGCATTAACCATTTTAAATGTTAGCAGAACTCTGGAGATCTGTATGGTTTCAATATTTTCAATATTTTATCCAGCTCTGGATCACCATGGTACATAACAAAATATTTATATTTTTTTTAAAATGAGCAGATCACAAACTAGGTCAGATTAGCTGTCAATAATGTTACAGTACAACCATTTTTTTCTGGTTTACTTTTATAGAAAAATATATAGTATGACAAGAAAATGTCTTAAATATCATGTTACAGTAAAAGTTTGTACATCAAAATGTTGTTTCATGCCAACTGAAACCAACTGCTTCAAACCAACCCATAGCCGTATGTTCACCAATGAACAATTATAGTAAAAAAACATCATCAATTGACTTAAAAAGGCAATTTAAATAAGGTTATAAGTGCAGACATTCAGTAACACAGCAGACAGCAGGCAGAGTAGTGAATGAAACTCCAGCAGCAATAAGATTGATAGATGAATATTGTATAAGATTCATTCTTAATGGTACAGAGAGGTCTGTTGGAAGTTTCTTAAAGTGACAGTGACACAACTCGTGATTCAGACAGGAAGTGATATTAGTATATACATTGGTGGGGGGAATTATTTCCATAACTTTTCACAATATTTAAAACATATATATATATATATATATATTGTGATATTTAAAAAGAAAATGATGTAGGGTGTAGCTATACTAAGTACTTAGTATAACAATAACATACTTCTTATCTTGTGTGCAGCTTTCTGATATTTGTGTGATGTATAATCGATTATTTTAGAAAATGTGTTTCTTCATCTTTCCTCCACTGCTATGCACTGAATTATTTATAATATATATTTTTATATAACAATGCTGTTCTTTTTCACAGAGCACGACCCAAAGTACAATACAATGGATATGCTGGTCATGAAAACAGCAACGGACAAGCGTCATTCGAAAACCCTATGTACGATACAAACTTAAAACCCACAGAAGCAAAAGCTGTTAGATTTGACACAACCCTAAACACAGTCTGTACAGTTGTATAGCCTTTGGTGCCCAGTAAGACTGATTCATAGCCATACCTCTATTGGACAAACAGAAACCCCATTGGTGCCCTAAACCAATATCTACTATTCTTGCTTTGCTGCTGAAATCTTTATCACTATCTAACAGCAAACAATACATGCATCTAAAACCATGGGTTCAAATGAATTAAGTCTTCTGAAGATAAAATGAAGAATGTCCCTTCATTTAAACTGGGATTAAAATGCCTGGCTGAAACTGCTTACCACTAGGAGCACTTCAGGAAGACTGCCAAGTCACGCCACTACGACATTTTTATGCCTCATACGATATGAACTGTATGTGGTTGGATGCCTTTCATTGCAATATTTTGGGCACTTGGATAAATCCTCTGGGTACTGTGATAAATGATAGCACCACAGTATGTATTTTTTTATACATCCAATGAACATGAATGTTCAGAAGAAATAAAAACTGGCGTTTGAAGACGAGGACAACCATACTTGTGGTTGCTTATACATTAAAATGCTTTACCATGAAATTGATGAAACTCTGTGACAACTAAAGCAAGCAGATATTTCAGACACTATTTGTGCACTGGGTGGTTTGCTAATTTACTCATTCAGCTGATGTTGCAAAATATTACTGCACAATTTTTTTGCACTAGTGTGTTTGGAATGACTGAGTACCATACCATCAAAATACAGGGTTTATAAAAACAATGTGTAATGTTCAAATAATGTCCATTTTCATGTTCCATACATTCCAAGACATATTAGATTTAAATAGAGATTCTAACAATTCACAATCTTTTGACATAAAGAAAATGGTTTGGTTAATTTCTTGCTTACAATACCATGTTCACCAAGTGACACCTGACACTCTATTCAGTACGTTTTGTACAATATATATTTTATGTCTTATTTTCTTAAAAAGAACAAAAAAAAAAAAAAGAAAAACAGGGTTGACAGTCATTACAATTTGTATCATAAAATGAAACAGCTGGTGTTTGACAAACTGTGAATAGTAATTTATTTTTAAATAATAACAAGTCTTTTGGTTCAAACTCACAAAACAATGTTCCTTTTTGCAATTTTTTTTCCTATTGTTTATTTTTTGCTATTGCCCAGTAAATGTTGTTGCAGCATGTTGAGACATATTTATAATATATATATATATATATATATATATGTATATATATATGTATATATATATATATAGTTAATATAATGTTAAACAAAAATCTGCACACCAGTCAAGCCATAAGACTTGCTTTTCCCACAGAAATCACAAATTTGCAATGATGTTACTACCACAAAGGATTCTGGGTGGGTGGGTGGGCATATGCAAATTTGTTTAACAAAGAATCACGTTTTTGCCTCATTACATTTTAAACATGCTCTGTGTTTGCTGTATACAACAGCTTTGAAACACAATTTAGGAAAGGATGCAAAGCCAGTGAACCACTCATATACATACATACATACAAACAAACATTTACACTATTGACTAGTTTTAAAATTAGTTTTTCATACCTTATGCACTTATGGCTAAATCCTGCACAATTTCCAAAATACTTAAAAGTTTGTTTGTAGCTGATATATCCTGCATAAATGCAAACTGTATAAAATAGGAATCAGAAATACATATATTTCTTGTATGTTACTTATAATTTAGCATCCCAGTGTATTCAAATCTATGGTCATTAATCATTCTGTGCTCTAAAAAAAAATAATCACATTTTAAATTGTCATAAAATTACAAACCAAAATTTAAAGCTCCCAAATATGTTTTGCTTGGTGACCTTTTCTTTTTTTATCAAGTATACAAGCTTGTTTCCACAAATCCACATTTTTTTTTTCACATTAAAAAGCAGGATGGTTTCAGAATTTTTAGATTAGTGATTATAGAACAATAAACATTATTTAACCATAATAGATGACCGATTTTTAATTTTATCTTTCAACATTCAAAGTTAAGTTTAATAACTGCAAATTATGAACGAACCATATACATATATTATTGTGATAATGAAAATGCCTTTACTTTTAACATAACTTTTTTGATGATTGGTTTGGTATGTAACTATGTATATATTATACCAAATGATATTTCAAACCAAGTAATCATATGCAACCATCAGTGGTGGGTGGAAACTATGCATACATTGCCCATCTAGGTCAGTCAGAGACCATCTCAAAACATATGTGTTTGGTCATACTGCTTAAGGCATTTAATCAGCTATTCAATTGTGCTTTTACATTTTTTAAACACTTTAATCAGATTTTCTAGTTTTGCATAATCTAGTTTGCACTTAAAATTAATGTTCAAAAGATTGGCTATAATACACACATTATTAAACACTGTACATCTATCAGTACTATATCTATATAGTGTATATATATATATATATATATATATATATATATATATATATATTGTACATCTATCAGTATATTGTTCTAAAATTCTATTAAAAATTCTATTAACTCAAGGGTCTATTATCAAAACCGGAGAGTGTGATGAATTAAAAGTCATCTTTAAACATTTAGTATAAAGTAGACAATCTAAAATTAGAAATATGTTATTTTTTAGCTCACTACGAATATCATGGTTTTGTAAATAATAAATCATGACTCCTTGTAAAAAGGAGAACTTCAGCTATCATGCAATATCAGTCACTAGTCAATATTCATTGCAAATAAGACAAAATGTTTTGGAGTCACTTTTTTTTTTTTTAAAGATTTACTTCCTAAACAAAATGTGTGAAGAATAAAAAAAAAGAATTGGAAATAGATTTATGTAGATTAAAATGGTCATTTTGTAAAAATTTCCCCAGTACTGCCATGTCTCTTATTATATCTATAAATTTCTATCCTAGGTTGGTGACTTTAAAGCTGTAGTTGAAAATACATCTTATCCCGGATTGTTATTGATGATACATATCATTGTTATATTGCTACTCAGAAAAGTGTCCACCTTAATGAATGAGACATTAGATATTAGACTGACACAGTAAAGCATAATTTGAGTAGCATATCTGCTATTCATTAAATTGTTACATTGGATGTAATATGTTATTTCAATATATATATATATATATATATATATATATATATATATATAATTAAGGGCAAAATTATTAAAATGGAAAAAATGCCCAAGTCAGCTATTTTTCCATTTTGGCTATTTTGGCAAAAAGTGTTAATCTACTTTGAATTGACTTTAAATTAACAATAATTCACACTTTTGTGAATTTGTGTCTTTGTCAAGTTCAAAGTCAATCATGTTTCACAGAGGTAACCAAGAGTAACACAACTTTTTATGGGCATATTTTTCAGTTCATTTACCCAAACCAATTTGTGTGCTGAGTATGACTATTAGGACTAATATCATTATAATATGAATAGACATATTTTCCATCTAAGCAATATGCTAGATACACATACACTTCTAATTTATAAAAAAAATGTGCAAGTACTAATTTTCCATAAATAAATGTACCTAGTGAAGCACTTGCAATAATAAATCTACAATATATTTCAAGGTGAGGGTTTTCAATTAATGTGAAAATTATTATTTAAAAAACATTATCAATATATTTTTATTTTGATTAGACTTGTTATAAATATTGTTCACTAAAGCAGCATCAGTAAATAATCATAAAAGATCATCTAAACATGCCTACTGTAAATATTTAGCCATTCGATTACATTATATTGATACATAGCTACTGATTGACTTGGAGATTAATTTCGTTACAAACTGCAATTCATCAAAATTTGGGCTGATCAGGTTATCATTTGAATTCCCGGAGTCGAAATAGAAGAGGCATCATGAACCAACCAAACGTGCAATGGACAAGCATATTTGTTTTGATTCAAGATTCTAAATTCCACCCGTGGTGAAAAAAAAATAAAAAATATTGTCGGAAAAAGATGATTAATGGATAGGATGCAGTCATTAAATGTTGAATTTATTAATAGATCAAGTAAGAAGTGTCTAATAGAGAAAAAAAAAATCGGTTTATATCTTTTTGTAAAATATAATTTTAGAATTGCTCCTACTTTTTCTCTCTTGATCTGTAAACTAAATAGACGGAAAATGTACTTATCAGTTTACTGCTAAATATATACGTAATATTTATATCATGTATATATTTTGCAGAACACTGATTGGTCTATTTTCATGTCTTTTGGTTTGACTGATCAATGTTCCCCTATTTTCTGTCCCTAAAGAAGTTCTTCCATCCAAACATTTTTTTTTCCTTTTTGACAAAAGTGACTCATCAAAAAACAGATATTTTCAACATGTACAAGTCTAGCTATTGATATGTATTTTTAAATAAAACAAACTCATTACCAAAGCTCAACAACGATATCTTAATGTTAGTTTATAGAAATCTTGGCATTGCCATACATTTTCCATAGGGTAACAATTGATTTACTTTTCCAGAACGTACACCATTTAATAAAAATCGCATGAACCTATTTTTAAATAAGATGCTCCATTTTCATTAAAATTATAAATTAAAGGTTTGGTAAATTACATTAAAATCAAGTTCAAGCAAGGCAAAGTCAGGGAAAACATTGCAAATTAACAGGAGAAATATAAATATTATTTAATTTCTCTTCTTAATTTTCACAACTCGCAAATACATATTTGTTCAATATAAGGATAAGTAAATCTAATATTAAAAACCTGGGAAATAACAGTTCCTCTTTAAGCTATATTCCAAGCTGTATTTTCATAAATTTACATATTGACATATTTATCTTAAATATGCGTACATAATAATAGATACGGAAAGTGGTCATAGTACGAAACTTGGTCATTATGTATTTTAAAACCATGACATTTGCCTTTAATATCGTTAGTAACAATAACCCAAACCCACTTCATACTTTCAAATAAAAAGTCTGGTATAACAGTAGGGAAAGATAGATAGAAAGATAAATGAAGGAACTTGCATTTTTTTAAATAAATGGCTCTATAGCTTTTAAACCTGTAAGGCAATTATTATTTATTCATTTTAAATTATCATTTCAGACTAGAGTTTTCTGCCCACCTTTTGTAATGCATTTTGGAAATAAAGGATCCATAAAAAAAAAAAAAAGCAAAAACAATGCTTTTAAGAGTTTTGCATTGGAATAAAATCTCCATAATCTTCTCTATCTTGTAGCTATACCTGCAAAGAGCAAGAAATATGCCAGTCCTTGCCCTCCCATTGCTTTCAGTGCAAGTATAATTAATATTTACTAAACCTCTGCAGGTCTCACAAATATTTTTTCCATGAAAAAACATGAATTAAACTACTCATGCAAGTTAATAGAATTCTGTGAATGAAACTATTGACTGCCAAGTCTGTCATATATGAACAGTAGCAGATAAGCTCTCTCATAGAAAGCTACAAGAGTGGAATAGGGTACAGCAAGTGGTTTAGTGATCTTTTTTCCACAACCGTGCATCTGGAACCCTAAGTTTGGTTCCATGCTTTAGGATGGCTTTTGTACGATACATCATGTATTGCATCTAGGGAGCCTAGAATATATCTTACAAAGGAAATGATGCATTTTAGCTGACACTTTTTAATCTAGCACAATGAGTTAATCACATTTGGTACATATATTCAATATATACATATACACCCTTAGTCTGTGACTATACCCAACCATCTATGCCTAGACCTTAACTCACATAATGAAATACTAATAAAATCTTTTTCAAAACATTTGCATTATGATTGACTACCTGTAACATATTTCACGTGTACACCCCTTAAATGGCCTTTAACTACCAATAGAGAAGCATATATATTATATACTATGGAATTCTCTGAAGCATATGTGCTCAAATTAGAAATAACTTCGTATAAATAGCTTAATTCAATAATTAATACATTTAAATAATTTACACAACATTTAATAATAATAATAATAACAATAATAATCATCTTAATATCCAAGCTTCAAAATGTCATCTAGCTTAAGTGACCATGTGTCCCTCCCCACTTACACAGTTGCTTACATTTTCCTGTTTCAAGCTATTTATATATGCTTACACTTCATGCAGCATGCTGTGCATAAGTTCTTGTGAATAAACGCTTATACAAATTACCAACTAGATCAATGTATGATTGATTAACAACACCTAACATATGTTTTACAAAATGCATTCAAAATGTATAATGTATTATTTTATCTCACAAGCTAAAATTAGTGGAAGATCATATATTTTGCAGTCATATTAAAATCTGAATTGTTGCATAGCCCTCTTTCTCCAAACAATTGATTTTAATATTTTAATTACTACATTCGAACAAGAAACTCAAGATAAATGCAGATTCAAAATAATATTAGGAATGAATCAATATCTCCTCACATTGAATGTCAGTTCATAAGTAAAAGTAGTAAATTCGCTGTGCTTGAAAATATTAAATATGAAAATATTAAAATAAAATTATTGTTTTATATCAACACAAATTCACAGATTCTATTTTATATATTATTAATGTATCCTAGAATGTAAGAACATTAATTCATTTTCTTTCAAGATGATATGTTTTTTTGTTTAATTTTGTCATACAACAAAATCAAGTAACAAAGTAAATATATTAAAATATTTTTTTTTATTTTGTTAAAACCTTTAAGATCATCAGTGCTGCAGTTACCATTTTCAACTTACTATTTGCAAAACCAAAATCAATTACTTCAATATTCAATATTTAGCCCACTGAATATTAAGAAAATCACTTTTATATTCAAGGATGTCCCGGCTGTTGCTAAGAAAAGATACAGTAATCAATAAATATAAAAAAAGTGTGCTTCAAAGCTGTTATAATTAATGTAGTCACTTTTCTTGCCTTTATACAGGCTAGCTGCAATAATGTTTTTTTTCTTTTTCATTAAATATTTTTGATTCAAAAATGAAAAAATAAAAATTTGCAAAAAGTGAAAAAGAATGCTAACACGCTAATCATCATCATTGCCACTCCATCTGTTTGTCATTTCACTACATGCTGCTGACATGAAGTACAGTAGGTGCAAAAGAATCTTTTGTACAGAGATATATTTTTTATGAAAATATTTGTAAAATTATTAAATATGCTGTAATTTTTGATTACTGTAGCTAAATTGTTAAAATAAATGTTTTTACAATACATTAAAATGTTATTTCCCAAGATTGCAAATGTATCATATATAGCTGATTTTCAATTTTTATTCTACAACAAATGTAACAATGAAGTGGCCTGTAATACTTTATCCTTTTAACAAAAGAGAGATGCTATTATAAGATATTGTAATATAGCCTGTGCAATGCCACCTTATTATCAAGGCAAAAATCAAAGTTTTAATTAAATATTTCATTTTAGATTTGCAATTTATGTGCTAAAATTTATTTTGTTCATGCATTTTTTAAAATAGAAAAGTTCCTTTAACACTGTTCCTATTTGTTTTTTTATATTATTATTTTATTTTTTTTAATCAATTTTAGTAAAATATTTATTTGTGAAGCATGCAAATAGGCAAAGCACTAGAAAAATGTGCCAAACCCAAGAGTGGGCTTAATTCCCTTAAAAGTTTATTAATTTCTCTTTGCAACACATCATGTAAATGAAAAATAAAACAAATATTTTACAATAGTTAAGTAATTTTATATACATATAAGAGTAGAACTAGTATGACACCAAATATGACAACTTTCAGTATTCTAAGATAAAACAACACTGGCTCCTGAGTAAAGGACAACTACCATCACAGTTTTACTTTAAAAAAAGTTTATTATATTTAATGTTTTTTTTTCGTTATGTTATGTATATTAATTTCTTTTTTTGAGAATGTTTCACTTTTTATCTAGCTGGGCAGCCATGTTTGATCAGATTCCACTTTTATCTGGCCAACTGCCGCTCAACCTAATTTTCCTGCAGTAGAAGCTCCACACAGAGCACATAGAGCACACAGAACATTATCAAAAGCAGGCATGTTAGGTTGAGCAAAAGATGCCTAGATAAGAGTGGGGTCTGACCAAACATGGCTGCTCAGCCAAATAAAAAGCCACATCAGAAATTCCTTGCACCCATGCTCTATTGTATTTGCTGAGTGCTTGGAATCCAGGGAAAAATATATCCATATGAAATAGTGATCAGCACTCAGGGTCTTGTAGAAATTAAAAGTTCTATCTTTATTGAAATGCATTAAAAATTTGATCATTCGTTCAACATTTCAGTCCTCATCTGGGACTTTCATCAGGATCAGACATAAACATTAAGCCAAATATATACATTTATATAGGAAAAAAATTAAAGGAAATTGACTTACCCAGGTGCTGTGACTGATACCGCTGACGTTCCCCGGTGCACAGTGCGCATGCGTGAACAGAGACCCGATCTTACATGACGTGCTGACGTATCGCCCGTTTCTATGACAACTGGGACCATTGTTAATTACCAAGGAAACAAGCATAAACATCCACTGTGTTTTAAAGGTTGTGAATAGAGGCAGTGATCGCAAAGATCGCAAAAGTGTATTATAGATTGTATCATAAGGAGGAGTGTGTTGATATACACACAACATCTACCTTGTATATAATGATATCGAAATTGTTTTAAAAAGGTCAAAATAAAAACATAATAATTAAATGTTGGAATATTAAGAGACGATACTGGACTTCTACAGTCAAATATAAGTGCATAGGTTGTGTGGTACTACTGTGAAATATGTTATTTGTCTCAAAGTGCATATTTTTATGCTTAAAGTGCATGACAAGTATAACGTGCTTAGAGAGAAAAGAAATTAAAGTGAAACTATTTGCTTTAAAGTGCAATATTAGTAATAAAGTGCTTAAGTGTAACTATATATGTAAGTTGTAAAGTGCCCAACTGCATAGTGAGAAAATTATGTTTAAAGTGCAATTAATATAGCAATATATATATAGCAATAATATAGCAATATGGGTAAGTCAATTTCCTTTAATTTTCTTCCTATATAAATGTACATATTTGGGTTAATGTTTGTCTAATCCTGATGAAAGTCCCGGATGGGGACTGAAACGTTGATCGAATTTTTAATGCATTTTCAATAAGCATAGAACTTTTAATTGCTACAAGTCCGTGAGTGCTGATCACTACTTCATATGGATATATGTTTATATATATATATATATATATAAAAAAATTCAGTTTTTTGTGTTTCTTCCTAGATTCAGTTATTATTGCTAATGCAATCCAATATGTTAAAGTAAAAGCCAGCCATGTGCGTTTGGGTGAACCTCAATTTGTGTCAAACAACTCGAAAACAGCTTGATGTGCTGAACCGGGCTCCAGGGATCTGTGGTAATTATGGTACTTAGAAAAGCCCTTTAAAAATCAGTTATCAAGTTACCACAACTTGCTGTTTAGTTTACAAAATTCCCATTGTATATATAAGATGCAGACTCCACAAAATAAAAATTGTTACTGAAAGAAAAATAAACAAAAATATTCAAAAATAGAATGAATGTGCACAACTGCATAAACCTCTCAGAGTTGCAAATGTAGCTGTATCCTTCTACGCCACAACAAGTGCATTGGAAGTGTAATGTGACAAATGTGACAGTAAATGTTTCTATTTACAATAAGGTCCCAAAAATATTGATTCTTTTTGCCCCATTCCATATAATAAAAGTGTGAATAATATGTGTAAGAAAGCCCAATAACCGTTCACTCACTTAAGTCATATCCAGACATGCCATTGCAAAAATGGCATAGTCATAGTTACATAGTACTCTAAGTTGAACAAAAACTCAAATCTGTCATGTTCAACTCTGAAACCCATTATTTTATGTTGTTGTTCTAAAAGAAGGCAAACAAACTCATTGCTGCAATTTGTGATTATGCCACAAAAAGGGAAAAAATTCCTTCTTGACGCCATGATGGCAATCAGATTTCTTCTTCAACAACCTGTTCACAGAAACATCAATTATTTCCTTGAATATTTTGTCTATGAAAAAAACAGCACCCAATCCTTTTTGTTTGTGGTATATCTGTGGCTAGGGGGCTGTGGAGAGTGTGTGTGTATATAGGTGCTGTATTGTATGTAGGTATAGGTGACATTGTTAAGAATAAAAGATTAGGGAAACAAAGTATAAATTATGGTGCTACTATCACCTAGTGTGAATCACTCTCACACACCAAAAATCAGTATAGTGCAAAAAACAGAATTAATGGTGAGAGCACTCTGTACATGCAAATAGAATATTTTAGTTGGTTACTATTGGAACTATAATTAAAAATAACAGGTACAATCTTATTATCTTCTTTTTGTTCCTTTATCTTATATTTCAGAATATTTTCCCTTAATTCTTGCCCAACTTCATCCTTTAAACTAATTAAAGAATCTTGATTATAGCCTTTTTCCACCAAAGGACTTTCCAAAATGGCGCCTGTGACACTTCCGGTTCCGGCGCCCGAATGACGTCATGATGCATTGAATCCGTTGGGCTGCAGATGATGACGAAAGTGGAAGACGCAGACAATGCCGGACAAGGGCGCCAAACATTTTCAGATATAAATAGAGATATCGGAGATGAAGAGACTACACCACTTGAGAAAGGCTTTGAGGCCGAAACGCGTCGTGGTACACTTTATGGACATATTTCCTGTATTTGGATTTAATTATATTTTTATTTTATTTTATATTAATAAAATCAAGTTGTATTGGATCCTGCATTCTGGAGTCATTTTACAGACCACTTCCAGCGCGGATTCACCAACATCCTGATTTAAAGGTTTCATCTCCGTTAAAGCTTTTAGTCTGAGTCAGCTTTTTTAAGTGACTCAGAAGCATGTGAGTGTAACCAGTCATATAAGGGCATTTGCACATATTTAAAACAATATTACTCTATGTTTTTTTGTTTTTTGTGCTTTGTCATTTTAGATATAGCATCCAAGCAAATTCTGGTAAAATATTCTATTTGCATGTACAGAGTGCTCTCACCATTAATTCTGTTTTTTGCACTATAGGTGACATTGTGTGTGTATTTGTTGTAGAGAGTGTGTGTTTTTGTGTACAGGGGATCTAGTGTGTGCATAGGAGATAAGAGTGTGCATAGGGGATGTAGTGTGTATATCAGGAATTTAGTGTGTGTAGGTGGTACAGTGTGTGTAGGTGGTGAAGTGTGTGTCTAGAGGTAATCTAGTGTGTAGGGGATCTAGAGTATATATAGGTAATGTGTGTGGAGTGGTGCACTGTGTGTGTGAAGGAGTGTTGTGTGTGTTAGTGATGCTGTGTATTAGGAGTGCAGTGTGTGAGGAGGGGTGTTGAGTGTGTTAAGGATGCTGCAGTGTGTATGGGGGTGCACTGTGTAAGGGATGCAGTATGTGAAACAGGTGCAGGGTGTGTGGGAGCCAAGGTTGTGTGGGAGGTGCACTGTGTGTGTGGTGTTCAGTGTGTTAGGGGTGCAATGCGTGTGAGGAGTGCAGTATGTGCATGGCGTGCAGTGTGTGAGAGGTGCACTTTGCATGTGAGGGGTTCAGTGCCGTGTGTGGTTTAGTGTGTGAGGGGTGCACTCTGTGTGTGGTGTAGTGTGTGAAGGTTGCATAGGGTCTATGTTGTATGGTGGTGAAATCTAAACAAATGTTTATTTTATCCCCCCTCCCTTCTTCTTACCTATTCACAGGGAGGGGGGACACAGTAAGCCCTGTCGGTGAGAAACTTTAGCTGCAGCTCCTGTGACTGCAGGAACAATTCACTCCTCTTGTGAGCTCCTCAGATCATTGCTATGGTAACCATGTCAATGCTCCAATATTCCCATCTTACAAGAGGAAGGAGCTTCCAGGGTTCTCCTCTCCTTCACTATGCTCTGCTAGAAGGAAGGGCTGACAAGAGAGATCT